AAAAACCGCGATAGAGTGAAGCCGCGGAAGTCGAAGCGTGAAGTGGCGAGGGTTCACTGTATATGATTTTTCTATTTCTGGGTTGGTTTTTGTTGTTGTTTTGAGGAAGCAGCATAGTGTTTTCTTTTTCTTCTTTTAGCGTAGTGTCTTGTATGGTAGTTGTACCATTTTATATTTCCACCGACAGTGCATGACCATTTCAATGTCTGTACAACCTTTCCAGAATTTGTTTTCTCTTTTTTCAAATTTTGATTTGTGCTCTTATTGCCAGTATGAGACGGTATCTCATTGTAGTTTTGATTTGTAGTTCCCTATGGCTAATGTATCTGTTCGACACCTGAATTTCTTCTTTGGTGAAGTTTCAGAACATTTGATAGCTTGTCCTTTGAACTCTTATGGAAAATCTTTTGATGCGGTGAGTATTTGATTTTTAGGAGGCCCCAGTTGCCTAGTTTACCTTTTGTGTTTCTACATTTTTAGTTGTGCTTGATAGTCTACTTACGTTATAAATAAGGGTCCCTAGGGTTGCCCCTGGTTGTCTTCTATGAGCTTTATAGTTTTAGGTTTTGTTCCACCTTGAGTTTTATGCATGTGGCGAGATATGGATCCTGCTTCATTTTTCTGAAAACATCTATCTAGTTTGCCTGCACTCTTTTGTTAAGGGGCTCTTTCCCATTTAATGAATTTTTTTATCTTGTATCTCCACAGGAGAAAACAGCACTAGGGAGTGACTGTGGCATTCTATGGCAAATCTCAATCTTTGGTCACAGCCTTAAGAGCTCTTGGTCTCAGTTCCACAAGCCCTCTTTGAAATGAGCTGTATGTAATGAATTTTTGTTTGACCCTTCACCAACTGTTCATAGGTGGATGGGTTTATTTCTGGGTTCTAAACTATGTTCCCTAGTCCTATGGGTCTATTGGTATACCAGCCTTGGGCTGTTTGGACAATACCATGACTGTATAGTAGGTTCTGAAGCGTGAGGACTCCCACTTCGTCTTCTTTCAAAGCAATGCTTTATTTCTCTGGGATCTCTTTCCTTTCCATATAAAATTAGTGATTCGTTTTGTTCATTTCACAAAGGGATGTTGTTTGAATTCAGATCACTTTGTATAGTATAGCCATTTTCATAATATCATGTCTTCTAATCCATAAGCATGGCATATTTTTCCATTTATGGAGATCTTTTTTGGTATCTTACAGTAGTGTTCTGTGGTTTTCTTTGTACAAGTCTTTGACATTTTTAGTTAGGCTTGTTCCTTGTGTTAGTCTGGGTAGACTAGAGAAACAAATCCAGAGACAGACACACACGCACATATATGAGAGAGCTTTATATATAAGAGCAATTGTACATTAAGAAAACATCCCAGCCCAGTCCAGATCAAGTCAATAAGTCCAGTATTATCCCATATGTCCAATACTAGTCCATAAATTCCTCTTTAAACTCACACAGCCAGGCAAAAATGCCAAATACAGGAAGGTCACAGGCCAGTGGGTGGAAAGTCTTGTAGATCCAGTGGTGGTGGAAGGATCTCAGTGCTGGTCTGGGTCTTCACGTGGCTCCTCCAGCTCCCAGGATCTGGCTCCATCAGTGTGTCTCCATGTGGCTTGTAAACAGGAATGTCTCTCAGGGAGTGTGCATGTGTCCCACCTGCAGCAAGCTATTTATCTCCTTAGCACCTCCAAATGAGGTCTTCAAGCTGTGACCTGATTGACAGGCTAAACTCTATCCTTTCACTCTTAATAGTCTCAAGTTGACAACAGATTATGTAACTACCATATTTCTAATACCTATATGTTGTTGGAATTTGGATTTCTTTGGGAAGATCTCAAAAGAGACCTACATGAATAGAAAAACACACCATATCCATAGGTAGGATAATATTGTGAAAAAGTCAAACATACCTATTGTGGCAGAAATCAAATCAGTGATTGCATGAAAATGGGAGAGTAGATGGAATGGTGGGAGGGGGCATTGCAAATGGAATCAAGGAAAATTTAGAGGTAATTGACATGTTCATTGTCTTGATTGGGGTTGTGATTTAATGAGAGCATGCATACGTCAAAACATTTCACTTGATACAATGATGTAGAGATTGTTATAAGAGCTGTAAGAGTCCCCAATAAGATAATTTATTAAAATAAACAAAACAAAACGTTTCAAATTATATACTTTAAATATAAGCGATTTATTATATGCTAAATATGCATATATATGTATATGTTTCAATAACCAATACCCAGCTGTTAGTTTGCTTTACTGTGGTGTCTTGCATGTTGCTATGATGCTGTAAGCTGTGCTACCAGTATTTCACTTACCAGCAGAGCCACCGCCCAGTTGGCTTCGGTGGTTTACAGACTAATAGACTAAAAAGAGAGGTCTGGTGATATAATTCTGAAAGTTAGCCAATGAAAACCTTATGGATTACTACAGAAGAGTGTCTGCTTTGCATCCTTTGGACAGGTCATCAGGAGGTTTAATCTCTAGTGGAGGGCATCGTGTTTGCTGACGGTCCATTGAGATCTATTTCCTGAAGGACAATGAGAACTTGGGTACCTCTTGTTATTGGATTGTCACAGCAGCCAAAATGATACATGTGAGCACACTCGCAATTGTGAGAATAATGCAAGGTTAGGCACCAGTTTGTACTGTTGCACAACACTCGAGAAGAGTTCAAGACATTTATGAAAAAATGTCAGTATCTTTCACTTCCATTTTTGCCTTGAACTCTCTGAAGCCTCTCCATATTTCAATAGAGGTGTTAAAATGAAGAAAATGCTGTGTTTGGTAGAGTAGGTGGTAATGGTAATTTCTCATATATGTGGCATCTCTGGCCTTGGGTTCTTAATTATTCCAAAAATAATTGATGCAGCCACAGCCTGCCCTGAGATTGGTCTCTTTTATGTACCTTGTAGGAATTGGACAGTTTCTTACGCAAATAAGGTACATAAAAACTTGCTAAGACAGGTTGATTACTATGCATATGCGTTGACTGTGGCCTCAGAGATTGGTCAGGAGTAGGCTTAGACAAGGTCAGTCATATAGAGGTTGGACTTGTGTTACTGTACTGAGAATCCCCTAGTCCCTGGAAACAAAGAGAAATGTGACACAGGAGATGGAACAGGATGGTGCAAGAGGCAGTGGCAGCGGCAGCATGAGTAGCACGAGCAGTGAGGAGCAGGAGATGGCACAAGGGTATAGTGGGTTATAGTGGGCTTGCTGGTCCATGGAGCAAAAGAGCCCAGTGTTCTTTAGGCAGGAGGCTTGCTGGTGAAGTGTGGTGCCTTTGGGAACTTTTTGGCAGAGCCAGAAGAGCTATAACATGTGCCTGAGCAGGGCAGAGGCCAGATTGAGAGCAAGGCTCAGTGGCAGATTTGGCCCAGAAGAAACACAGACTTGTCCTGGTTGGAAGTTCTCTCTCCTGAGTTGTAGCTGGTTGCTTCTGAGTCTATCCTAATACTTATCCTATTTGTTCAATGGTATCCTGTTGTTACTGTTTTTATGTGCTGTTGAGTCAGTTCTGACTCACAGGGACTCTATGCACAACTCGACAAAATCTCCTTGTCCTACACCATCCTCATAGATCATAGCTGTTGGAGCTCATTGTTGCTGCCTCTGTGTCCATCCATCCCATTGGGCATATTCCTCTTTTTCACTCATGATCTCCTTTATCCACCAGGATGTCATTCTCCAGAGACTGGTCCCAAGCATATGAGACTATGTCTCTCCAGCCTCACTTTCAAGGAGCATTGTGACTTCTTCCAAGACTGATTTGGTTGTTCTACCACAGTCCATTCAAGGCCATCCATTCTTCGGTCTTCTTATCCATGGTCTAGTTTTTGCATAGCTACGAAGTAAGTGAAAACACCGTGGCTTTGACCAGGCACTCAGACTGACCCACACACCAATGACCAATGCACAGAGTGAGGAAATTGAAGATCTTTGCTCACTTCTTCTGTTTTAAGATGCACTGAGCATTACTGGTCATTGGAATGCAAACATTGGAGATGAAGAAGGGTTGGTAGTTGGAAAACATGGGTTTAATCAACGAAACAATGCCAGAGATCTCATGATTGTATTTTTCACTACAAACAGCTTCTTCCTTGCAAATACCTATTTCTCACCAACATAGATGTGATTTTATATGGGAACCTCTCCAGATGGAATGCACAAGAATCAGATTGACCAACACCTGTGGAAACAGAGCATGCAGCTGCTTAGTGCCCTCCGGCAAAACAGGGCCAGGATCTAACTATGGAATAGGTTAGCAATTGCTCATTTGTCAGTTCAAGTTGAGCTTCCCGAGATCCAAAGTCCTACCTTGAGTCTATGTCACCTGATTTAGAGTCCAATCTCAAGAATAAATTTGACATATTGAACACTCATGAGTAAAGACGAGATGAGCTGTGGGATGAAATCAAGAACGTCTTACATGAAGAAAGTAAAGGGCCATGGAAAAGACAGGACAAAAGTAAAAGAAAGCAAAAAGGAATGTGAAAAGGGACTCTGAAAGCTGCTCTTGAACGTAGAAGACCAAGAGGGAAAGGAAGGATGACAGCAAAGAGCTAAAAAAGGACCCTTGAAGAGGCAGCTTGAAGACGACGTCAAGTTTTATAAAGAAGCGGGTGTCCTGTGACTTCCCTAATGAAACACATAATTGTGTGACTAGGGTCTGTAAGTTCTCTGTGATCGTTGCAACAAGTGACTGGATCCAACTGTGGGAGCGCTGTGGGAGGGCTGCCTGGTGTCAGATATTGGGGTGGGTGGGGTGGAAGTATGCCTGACCTCCACATCAAAGGGATTGCCTTTGGACTGATGGTGAAGCTAACCCCTCCAGTTAAATGTCGACAGACCTCGATGCTATTAGATTATAGCAACGATGGGAGTTGTTTTTCACTCAGGTGCTTCCAAATGTCAGTATCTGTAGGATCTGTATGTCTTTCTCATAGTATGAAGCAATTCTCCAGATCAAGAGCCCTGTAATTTCCCTCCTGAAGGGATGTAAAGCAGACTGAGACATTCTGGAACCTAAGTAAGTAAGGGCAGGGCAGAGGTTCTCCTCACTCAGTGTGCATTCTTGCACATAATCCCCTGTTTCCGGGGCAAGGGACAAAAGAGGGAAGAGAGAACTGGGAGATGGGGTAGGGGGTGGGCAGAGGGGAGGAGACAGAGCCACACACACCAGCACCAGCAAGGGAGGAGCGCTTCCTTCCTGGGATCCTGCCACTGTTTCAGGGAGGTGGGCTGTGCACTGTGCAGTGTATGCTTTCCCTGTGTGGGGTCTCCTCACCAAGAAAAAGAGAGCGGCTGTCACATCCCATTGTCAAGTCATGTGCACTCCCACCTTTGCTCTGTCCAGTGTCCCCCGTCTGATGCTACTCTCACTACTGCTTGTAATTACAGGGGTTTTTTCCTCATCAGACATGTGATCTGAAGAGTGCAAATGTTTGAATAGAGCAATTATAGAATGAAAACATTTCATACAACCGTTTACTAGGTAGAGTCTTATGTGACAGAATCGGTGGGTTATGTGAACACAAGGAGGACAGATCTTGGTGTTCTCAAAACGTACAGCCACGTTGTCGATAGGACAGGGTAGAACTGCACCTGTGAGGCTCTGGTACTGTGACTTTTTAAGGGAGTGGAAAGCTTTTTTTTTTTTTTGCTTCTGAAGAGTGACTGGTAGTTTTAGACTGTGGATCTTGCAATTTGCAGCCTGACTCATAACTCTTAGGCCAGCAGAGCTCCTGGTGTTGGTACAGGGAGATGGTCTTTGGACCGTTGGTGGGAGGATGCTGACAAGACAACCTGGTCTCTGCT